ATATATATATATATATTTTTTTTTTTAACATGTAATATACTCTAATTACTAGTATTGATTTTTTGGAATCTGACTACGTAATCCAGATTACATGTGTGTATAAATATATATGAACACACACACAGTGCTAAGTAGTAACTGATTACATGTAATCTGGATTACGTAATCAGATTCCAAAAATTCAATACTTGTGATTAGATTAGATTACATTTTAAAGTACTCGTAATCAGACTACAGTTACTTTTTTATTGATTATGTGATTATAAGGGGGTTTTTCTTTCTCTTTGTACTTTTATATCAGTATGGTACACGAGATTATCCTATTTAAATCAATGTGATAAATGTGTAAAGTCAAATGTAATTTAAAAGTAATCTACAAGTAGTCTGGTTATATTACCTAAAATGAGTAATGTAGTGGATTACGTTACTGACTACAATTTTTGTCATGTAATTTGGAATCAGTAATCTACCCAGCGCTGTTCTTTCTCTTTGTACTTTTATATCAGTATGGTACACGCGATTATCCTATTTAAATCAATGTGATAAATGTGTCAAATGTAATTTAGTCAAATGTAATTTTAAAGTAATCTACAAGTAGTCTGGTTATATTACCTAAAATGAGTAATGTAGTGGATTAAGATAGCAGCACATGTGATTAAATTTGAGCACAAAACAATAAAGAATCATGCTAAATTAGTTGAGTACAATCAAATAATATTCATGAGAACACCTTTACCACACCACAATAATGATGGCCAAAAGATGGAGTTCGCATGCAGTCCAAATTGGCAACTCACTAGGTTTTGCAACACAGCCCCACTCTCACTCTGTCTTCTCAGCAGTTTCAGTCTAGTCTAGTCTGAGCTCCACCCTCCTGCAGAAGCGAGCAGCACCTCCATTCAAACCCATCCAAACTCAAGGCATGAGCGTCTGCTCTTCCCCGCACAGCTGCTGCTGATCACCTTACCTGCACAACAAACTCTGGATATTCGTCTTGTACTTTACAACCCCTTCAAACCTCCAGAAAGAGGCGAACTAAATCATTCTGGCCCTAAACGTACACACAAGTGGTTTTCCAGACTGCAAACATGGCGAGTGCCTCGTACCACATCTCTAATCTTTTGGAGAAAATGACATCCAGCGACAAGGATTTCAGGTCAGTCGTACTGCACATATTTTGAATGAGTGTTAAATAGCATGCATGTGTATTTCTGGCGCTTGTGATGGCGTTTACATGTCTTAATGAATAACGCAGCGATCGCAGAAAGTTTTAGGCCCCGAATAGCGCGACTGTTGTTGTTTAGGGAGCTGCTTAACTTAGCATGTCAAACTCACACTGCACGGGCCTTCATTTTGATTTTTGCTGTTTAAATGTGTGTATGGGTCATATGTTCACGGCTATAATTAACCATTTGAATTGTTAATTTGACATCGGTTGCTGGAATTGAAGTTGTCAAAAAGTGTTTGTTTTAGTATGGACGTTAGCTAGCTAGCCGCTAGAATTAGCCGATTAGCTTTAGCATATCTTTTTGGTGGCACTGCACGCGAACTGTCATATCATTTGCAACGAGTACAATCATTTTGAACAAACCATGGGCTGAATGTGCAGAAAGTTGATGAATCAGTGCAATATTTCGTATTTGATGTAATTTTGTTCTCCTGGGGTTCATATACGTTGGCTAATGTTAGCATAAGTGCACGTCTATGATATGTGCATAGAATTAGAGAAGTTTGTATAATGTAAAGTGCGTCTTGAATTCAAGATTTATCTCTGCATTCAATGTTTCAGAAAACGTCATGTCATTTTTAAATGTGCATACTGACAGGTTTGACAGGTCATGCATTTATTATTTTCTTCTTTTATTCACTTCTTAATCACTTGCTAACGTGCAGATTGACAATTATTTATGAAGGCAGTGGTTGATTCTTGTCCTTTGTAAGTCACAGGCTGCGTTAAATTGTTTAATTCAGATGATTACAACATTTGAAAAAAAAATTTTTTTTTAAATAATAGTGATAGATATTTACCTCATTTACCAAAGATTGCATGACAGTTCCTCGTTGACTTTGGTTTGAGAATACTAGCCTGATCAGAAATGCTGTCAAGGCTAGAAACATATAAATATAGTAATAACAGTTGAAAAGCATAATCATGAAGTTGTACCTTGTCTATATAGTTATTACAATTTGTATTTTGGGCTGTCATGCTGTTCTTGCTGTTGGGGGAATCCCTTTTAATGATTTCAGTATATTCAGCAGTGGCCACCAGGAGGTTAATGGTTTGTGAATTTTATACATATCCGACAGGAGTTCTCAAATGAATGCTAATGCAGTCATCGGATCATATTCCCAGAGTCTTTCCTGCCTGTCATCTCCGTCAAGCCGTTTTCTGCTCTCATTCCAGCTCTTTCTGAATTTCACAAGATTTCACCCCCTGGGAAAAATTTGCTTACACACCATTCTAGGTCTCCTCTGTTGGCGTGTGCTGGCGTTCCCTCTCTCGCCCTGCTGTTGGAGCGTGTGTGTCTCATGCAGTATTCATTCTTACTTAGGCTCTCGCTGGAATAAGATTCCATGTCTTCAAATATATGCCAAAGCAGATGCACTTAGTTCTCTGTGTGTGTGGCATGTAATAGGGTATGCAGAAGGTTTTTGCTCATATCACATATGAGGTTCTGTGCTGAGGCTTTGATGTTGGCACCCAAAGACAAGATTTCATTTTAATCCACTCCAGTTTCAGCTCAGAAGTGGATTATGAATTATCAAACCATGACAAGTGAGAGGAAAAGGTGAAAATGCTTCCGTCAGCCCATTTCGCTGGAATAAGAGATTCCATGTCTTCAAATATATGCCAAAGCAGATGCACTTAGTTCTCTGTGTGTGTGTGAGAGAGAGATGGCATGTAATAGGGTATGCAGAAGGTTTTTGCTCATATCACATATGAGGTTCTGTGCTGAGGCTTTGATGTTGGCACCCAAAGACAAGATTTCATTTTAATCCACTCCAGTTTCAGCTCAGAAGTGGATTATGAATTATCAAACCATGACAAGTGAGAGGAAAAGGTGAAAATGCTTCCGTCAGCCCATTTGCTTTGACATAATGCCAGCAGCCTCGTCATACAGGTGGCTCTCATGTTACGGCCATGTGGGTGACTTTACATTAACCATTCTGTTAGTGCTGAAGTCATATGAAACCCTCTTTAAGTGTGTCAGTGTGTCTGGACCATTGGGAACACCTCTGGAAAAAAAAAAAGCCTTGCAACTGGTAGTCATTGCTTGTGTAAGATGTTGGATTTTATGAGTGAAACAGGACATGCAATGGAAGAAAATGTTGATGGTGGTTGGTTTTTTATTCATTAGGAATTGGTTGGTTAGTGAAAAGTGGTCTTTATATGACGACGTTGGATGGTAGGGGATTACTAACATGGGCTGCACAGTTATTAAATTTTGGTGGAAGAAACATATTTTTCTTGAGAATAAAGTGAATTAAGTCATTCATAACAAGTCCTTGTTTATTCCCTCAGATTCATGGCCACCAATGATTTGATGTCCGAACTGCAGAAGGATTCGATAAAGCTGGATGATGATAGTGAACGGAAGGTGGTCAAAATGATCTTAAAGCTCCTGGAGGACAAGAACGGAGAAGTTCAGAATCTGGCTGTAAAATGGTAAGAATTTTGCCATTATTCATTTGTTCCAGTCCTTCTGCGCTTGCATGAACTTGAAAGCTTCTCTTAGTTGGGTATTTTCAGTGTTTCCTTCATGAATTGGCTTCGGTTTGTCCTCTGAAAATGTTTTAATGTGAAATTGATTTGTGCCAGAGTGATTTAGTAAGAGGTATTGCTGTTTTTCACGTTGATTTATCTCGGTTATTAGCTTCTGAGATTCGCCTTTTTTTCCCTAGATATTTTTGAAGGGATTGCTTTAATAAGTCCGTAATCTCTCTTCATTTCATTTCGGTTTTTGTGTTGTTAAATACAAGTTTGTTTACAGAGACTTTTTTTAAACCTTATGAAAGATAATGCCATCATGCGAATGGATTAACACTGATTTGAATGCTAAACAGAAATAACGTACCATTTTGCAGCATGGACATTTTTGCAAGCAATAGACAAATAGGAAGCATTTCAGAGGTTGCACTAAAAGTCCTTATTTCTTGCAGTTTGGGCCCACTTGTCAGCAAAGTGAAGGAGTACCAGGTCGAAACCATTGTTGATACATTGTGTACAAACATGTTATCAGATAAGGAGCAGCTTCGAGATATTTCCAGCATCGGCCTCAAAACGGTGATTGGCGAGCTCCCGCCAGCATCCAGCGGTAAAACAACATGCTTTCCCTGTGTAGCGTTATTAATACAATCGTTTCCAGAGTATTCGACAAACTGTTTTTCATGTGCTAAAAGGACAGAGAATGTATTCAGCTATATTTAGTTTTTTTCCTGCACCGTCTTGCCTGCTAAGTCCATTTCTCTTTGCTTTAGGCTCTGCTCTTGCTGCTAGCGTTTGCAAAAAGATTACAGGCCGCCTCACAAGTGCCATTGCCAAGCAGGAGGACGTCTCAGTTCAGCTGGAAGCGTTGGACATCATGGCAGACATGCTGTGCAGGTATGTCAGATGAGCCATGTGATGACTGCTGCTTTTGTTTAGACCAGTTGTGCTTTTGAGTGCACATGGGTTCCTACCAGGTAATTTCTGGAGGTGTTTGTGCACATGCATTTCCCCTCTGTGGCAGTTCTCAGTTTTCTTTTTCCTCAGTTCATTGAGCTGAATATACTTAGATATTTCAGTTTAGAGACTGACTCTCAGCTCTGTGTGGTAGCTAATGGCAGACTTTGAATTTGTCTAGGGTGATTGCATTTTGCATTTATATTTACATTCATGTATTAGGCAGAAGCTTTTATCCTGCTTGTGTGTTCCTTGGGAATTTGATCCACAAGCCATTGCTAAGGTCATGCACAACCAGTTGAGGTGCATGGAAATATTTATACGCAAAACATTTAAAGGGTTAGTTCACCCAAAAATGAAAATTAGCCCACAAATTACTCACCCTCAAGTCATCCTAGGTGTTATATGACTTTCTTCTTTCAGACGAATCCAGTCGGAGTTATATTAAAAATTGTCTTTGATCTTTCAAGCTGTTTAATGCCACTCAGCAGGTGTTGCATGCATCAGTCCAAAAGAAGTTAAATAAAAAGCGTCAAGTATGAAGGAGCATTTTAGTTCTTTTCGCTGTCATCATTCAAATCTGCAAAAAGTTCCGCTGGTGGAACTGTCGACCCCAGGAGGTTAATCAACGCTGAACTCATACGTCATCCGCCCGGAGCTGCTCCCATGTAGGACTGTTGGCACAAGCTACATTAAAATGATTATTACGTTTTGAATATGGATATTTTTCTTACAAAAATGCATCAATTTGCTACAGGAGGCCTTTGTTCACCCCCTGGAGCAGTGTGAGTCACATTTTTATTATGGATGGATGTGCTTTATTTCACTTCTTTTGGAATGATGAACTGCAACACCCGCTGACTACAATTAAACAGCTTAGAAGATCAAAGACCATTTTTAATATAACTCCGACTGGATTCGTCTGAAAGAAGAAAGTCGTGATCCTGTGCAACCATCAGCCTCAAGTCTTCCACCCCCATGTTCAGGCGATAGTGCCTCCTGTAGTTGCTTGTGTGGGTGATCCCTTTTATAAGATCACTTCTGAAGCACTGCTGGTCACCCAGCAGTTGGTCAAAGTCATTAGGCCCCTCGATCAAACAGATGCTTTTGATGCTTCGCCCTACATCGCTGACCTTTTTGCTTGCACCATTAAAAGGCTGAAGGCAGCAGATATCGACCAGGAAGTCAAAGAGCGAGCTATCTCTTGTACGGGGCAAATTATCTGCAACCTTGGTGATAGCCTTGGTGCAGACCTACCAGGCACTCTCCTCATCTTCCTAGAGCGACTGAAGAACGAGATAACAAGGCTGACCACTGTCAAAGCTCTCACACTCATTGCAGGGTCACCGCTAAAGATCAACCTGAGGCCCATTTTGGGTGAGGCTGTTCCCATTCTTGCCTCCTTCCTACGTAAGAACCAGCGAGCATTGAAACTAAGCACACTGGCTGCACTGGACATTCTGGTCAAGAACTACAGTGATAGTGTAACACCGGCCATGATTGACGCTGTACTGGCTGAGCTGCCACCTCTTATCAATGAAAGCGATATGCATGTCTCGCAGATGGCTATCAGCTTCCTCACCACGCTTGCACGAGTCCACCCTGACTCGCTGTCTAAGATAAGTGGCTCTATTTTGGCTGAACTCATAGCTTTGGTTCGTTCGCCGTTGCTGCAAGGTGGCGCTCTTAGCGCCATGCTGGAATTCTTCCAGGCTCTTGTAGCTACGGGAACTGCCAGCTTGGGCTACATGGATCTGCTACGTATGCTAACAGGTCCGGTGTATGCCCAGAGTGCAGCGCTCACCCATAAGCAATCCTACTACTCCATTGCGAAGTGTGTGGCTGCTCTTACACGAGCTTGTCCTAAAGAGGGCCCTGCAGTGGTGGGACAGTTCATTCAAGACGTGAAGAACTCGCGCTCCACTGACTCCATCCGATTGCTGGCTCTGCTGTCCCTTGGTGAGGTCGGCCATCACGTTGATTTGAGCGGCCAGCCTGAGCTGAAAACGGTCATTCTGGATGCCTTCTCCTCAGCCAGCGAAGAGGTTAAATCAGCAGCTTCATACGCGTTAGGCAGCATCAGCGTGGGGAATCTCCCGGAGTACCTGCCCTTTGTCCTGCAAGAGATCTCTGGCCAACCCAAGCGACAGTACCTGCTGTTGCACTCTCTCAAGGAAATCATCAGCTCTGCTTCGGTGGCAGGGCTTAAACCGTATGTTGAAAATGTGTGGGCGCTGTTGCTCAAACACTGCGAGTGTACAGAAGAGGGCACAAGGAACGTGGTAGCTGAATGTCTGGGAAAGTTAACACTCATCGACCCAGAGACTCTTCTGCCCAGGCTAAAAGGCTATCTCTTATCAGGTGATTGTCTCTTAACTCTGCCTGTTAAATCTGTATCAAAATACTTTCAATTCAATTTAAATGAAGTTTTATACTTTGTCGAAGTTTTTGTGTCATAAATTGTTTCTTATAAATCTTAAGAGTTTTGATGGAAGTGTCTTTCTCCGCAGGATCATCTTATGCCAGGAGCTCTGTAGTCACAGCTGTTAAATTCACGATTTCTGATCACCCACAGACAATTGACCCCCTTCTTAAAAACTGCATAGGCAAGTGCTATTATTAGTTGGTTTTCTCCTTGGCAAATACATATTTTTTTCACTTTTACTCTTTAAGTACAAACTTGCACCGTTTTGAATTTTGTCCAGAACACATTTTAGAACTGGTTTTAATTGTAATTTTTTTTTTTTTATACTTCTAGGTGATTTCTTGAAAACATTGGAAGATCCAGACCTCAATGTACGAAGAGTGGCTTTAGTTACCTTCAACTCTGCAGCTCATAACAAACCTTCTCTTATTCGAGACCTTTTGGATACGGTTCTCCCTCATTTGTACAATGAGACCAAAGTGCGCAAGGATTTAATCAGAGAGGTAATCTCCCCTTTGTCCAGAGCCTTTTGCTTTACTGGCTTTTAAAACCTCAAAGCTCAATGACACCTGCCTCTTTCTAGGTTGAGATGGGTCCGTTCAAACACACAGTGGACGATGGTCTGGACATCCGGAAGGCTGCATTTGAATGCATGTACACTCTATTAGACAGTTGCCTTGATAGACTTGACATCTTTGAATTCTTAAACCATGTTGAAGACGGACTTAAGGACCATTACGATATCAAGGTAAGCCATCAGACTCGACTCATGAATCTTTCATGAGACACAGGCTTTTTGCCATGCAGATCATTTAGCGACCACAGAAGATGAAAGAGTGAATTGATTAACAAAGATTCAGTGTGCGGTCATCAAAGGCATAAATGCATAATGCATTCACAACAGACGTGGTCCAACTTTATTTTAAATGTACTTATTACCAGGTCTACTTGCATCATAATGAAGCGGGAACATTAACTACTGTTTTAATATAATTGAGTGCTTTGTACTAGAAAATATGTATATTTATAAATGTTTCAGTTGTTTACCTAAACACTTTTAACAGGAATTATCATATATAGTTTTTTTCTCGCAAGCCATGGGTATTTTATAGTTACAAGGAACTTCAGTGGGACCAAAAGTATAGACTCATTAATCACAAAGGTTTATGGTTCTTTTTGCTCTATTAATGTGTTTACAGATGCTGACTTTCCTCATGCTGGCCAGATTATCTAGTCTGTGTCCCAGTGCAGTGTTACAGAGGTTGGACAGACTTGTAGAGCCGCTTAGGGCAACATGCACCACAAAGGTAAGCAAAATGTTCAGCAAACACCTTTGTATATTGACAGTGGTGGAAATCTAAATTGAGCTGCATCTAGCAGTTAGCACATAAGCTCAAACATCTGTGGTTTCCATAGGGGCAAAAGTTTGAATTCAGTTTGCCTTGTTTTACCAATCCTGTTCCCCATGTTTCTCATGAAAGGTCATGAAATAGTGATGCCAATTCATTTGTCAAAAATTGTGAGTTGTTTGATTTCTAATTCTATTCTTTCTCAGGTAAAAGCCAACTCTGTGAAGCAGGAGTTTGAGAAGCAGGACGAGCTCAAACGATCTGCCATGCGGGCCGTAGTGGCCTTGCTAACCATCCCAGAGGCCGAGAAGAGCCCCCTAATGAGCGAGTTCCAATCTCAGATCAGCTCCAACCCTGAGCTGGCCGCCATCTTTGACAGCATCCAGAGGGACTCCTCCAGCGCCAATATGGAATCCATGGACACCAGTTAAACGTCTAAGACAGCGTACCCGTTACCGTCGCTCCCAAGAAAATCCACAAAGAAAACCAACCCTGGGGGACCCTTGTATTGTTCCATGCATTGCACTGAATCAAAAAATAGGAGGAAAACAATCTAAAGTTAAGAAAAGAAAAAAACGAATGAAAAGACAGACATTCGTTCTCTTAAGCTTCAAAGCTTATTACCACATTCTTTGTTTTTCTATAAACAACAGGAAATCGCTTCAGTTGTTCATTGTTCTCCATTCTTCTCCATTTTTTTATTTTTTCTTGTTAATTTTCATAATTCCTGAGGTTCTGTAGATACCTCAACTCACAGGGGTGCAGAGGGACTTACTAGGTTACCTGAAAATGTGTTATCATGGGAGATTTGTTCTTTACATTCTAGGCTGCTGACGACTTAAATCGGGATCTACAGGGGTAAAGGATAGCACTCAGTGAGTTTGAATCCTTTCAGGACCATGTTTTTTTCTGTCATGTTTCTTATCAAACAGGTTTTATTAGGTTTTTGTACGATTTGAATGTCGTCATCTCCTCTTTTTACTGTTGACAACTTAAGTACAGAGCGAGATAAGTCTTCGAAATATTATCCCGAAGAGGAGTGGCATAGTTAGGGTATTTCATTGGATGAGTGACTGCTTATTTTTCCTTCACTGCATTTCATTACATTCCCACTGTCCGCAGAATTGCGAGTCATCAGCATGTGTCACACATCCAGAGAAATGAGCATTCAGCTGCACACGTTTTGCATAATATTTTTCTTTTTCTATTTGATGACAGTTTTGTTTGGCTCCAGCATATAGAGGTGAAATATGACATCAAACATTGTTATGAGAAAATATTGCCCTGTATGGAACGCACATATGTGAATAAAATGAGTGGAGAATATTCTCTCAGGTGCTCGACTGTATTCTAAAATCATAAGGGTGTTGTTCTCGCGGTTTAGATCCACTATTATGCTGCCTCGTTTGAACTGCTTACCTATAAAATTGGTTGGGAATATACATTTTTCTCTAATAGAACTAGTTTAATTTACAACAGTACTTTACTGCGTTTAGTGTACAGATCTCTTTTTAGGGATATCTGAATTTTGGAGAAAGGAACACCATCATAGATCTCACCATATAGCTGACCAATGGGTGACTGAAGTTTAAATCTGATGCCCTGGAATCCAGAGTTTGTAGAATACACCGTCTAGGTTTATTTGTGTAGTCATGTACGCACCACGTTCTACATCCATTGAAGTATGACAGTATGGCAATGATCCTCCATAAGAAATCAATAAAAGGTCCATTGCTGCCTGCATCCAAATGTAATTTTATGGTCCTTCAAGTTTAGTTAGAACCATCACAATGGCTGATGCATATTGCACAGAAAGATGACAAGAGCTGGCTGAAATTGCCAGTTCCAATTTGCTTTGCTGACTTTATATGTTTTCTGCAAGTGAGGCCGTACTGGTTCTTCTGTCAGTCCACCTGGAACCAAAGGTTGTTAAGAGTGGTGAACACTTTTGTAGAAGAACTACTCTGGATTTGACAAAGGTTAGTACCACTGTTTTGTTTGAGGCTCTTTGTACCTCATCTATATTTAAGTTGTCTGTGTGTGAAATAATATATTTGGACGCAGATTCTGATCCAAAGTCCATACACGTTTTCCATTATCTTTCAGTGTTTTATATACAGCTGTTCTTGAAGACTGCTGCACCGTTATCTGAATTCAATGGCCAGAATAATCTGCAATATGGAGCAGATTGTTCTGCAAGACTGGCTGTACTGCAACACCATCAAATTGAGCGCATCTTGGAAACGGTTTTGCATGTGTCAAAGAGTTTATCTTATATCAATCAGCTAAAAATTGTTTTGTTTTTCAGGAACGAGTAGTTGTAAAGTTAACATGACATTTATTTAGCTTAATGTGTTCCTGGTTGTGGTTGATTCATCAGCACTAGTTAGGGTAACTGTTTTCATTACTTGAGTCATTCAAACAAATTATAACTTAGAAGCAAGCTGGAAATTATTGTATGATTAACGACAATGTGAGGACCTGGTCAGCTCTTGACGTCTGTCCTCGCTCAGTCCGTGTTGTTCATTAGAAAAACAAAGCAACAATGCAAAGGTCATCGACTCTACCCATGCATGTTGAACAATTCATTTTTATAAGCTCACAAAAACTTTAAAATATCAGCATTTTAACATGCCATGCTGGACAAACAGGCTAATCTGAGAGTAGAAGAGATCTGAACAGGATTTTAATTCGCTTCTACTAGGCTTCTGGAAGCATGAAAATACATTAGCAGTTGGTCGTCACTTAAATGAACCCACTTCCAATTTGCATGCTAATGAGTCACGCAAATGCTATTAAAGGCCAATTTACAGTGGCCTGATTTGCATCAGAGGTGTGAGGGCTAATGCACAGGCGTGATAATTCGCTCATAAGGACAGATGTAGGCCATCATCGTCGCTTCACAAGGTGTCCTCCATGTTAATGTTAATTTTAGGTATTTCCTTGAGTATCCCATAAAATTTCATATCGTAAAAAAATCAACATTTCAACCAAAGCTTTCTTTCTAAAAAAGACTATAAGAAGCCTATGGCACACAGCCTCCCTCTTCCAAACTGTGATAATATTATTGTGAGCAAGCCAAAAAAAAAGGCTAATCATCATTATAGATGAAATGTGTTTTGTAATGATGACGAAGTGTTTGTCTGCCCTGCCCTATGGGAGATTGCAGCAGGAGGCCATAAAAAGCACACTGCAGATTAATGCTTCCCTACTGCTGACAGATCCTCCATGGCCTGCTGAGCAGCTGCTTGTAGCTGCTTTAAAGTCTGAAGCTTAATGTTTCACATCTAAGCCGGATTTAAACAATGCAAGGAGACCTCACCCCGTAAAGGGGAATATAACTCATATCATCTCATTAATGACGCTTACTCTAGCTACGTGCCAGAGTAAAGTCTGCACTGACAAATGTCTGTATTTTGAGGGAGTTTCTCAGAACTGGAGCACGATTATGGAGTGCTTGTTGATTTAAGGTGGATGAAAGGTTTTTAGGGCATGTCATGAGCTCATTCTGTGGCCAGGCAACTGTGTTGTATAATATTATGCAAATAACACCTGTTTTATTTTGAGTCAAGGTTTGTTTTATTTGCTTCTGTTCTGATATTAATGACCCTTTGCAAATCATTTCACAAAAAAGGGTTGTTCTCAACTCTCTGTGGGGTCCCGGGACACAACCACCCAATCAGCAGCTGAGAGCTTTGTTGTCTTGGATTTTAACTGGTCTGTTAAGGTGGTCATGGTAATGTCCTGATTTCAGTAGTTTGGATTGTCCTCAGTATGTGGCCGCAGCCAGCCTTTCCATGGTCTTGTTGATATTCTGCATGCCCGTGGTAAGTTTTACAAGGTTTATCTTTATCAGATATTTTCCCAAATCATCCTGACATCAAAACAGGATATTTGGCTTACTCTAAAGTTCTTTTGTTGCATTTCAAGAACTTATGTTCAGTTGAGAACTGCAAGGTGTGCAGTAAACAGTGTGCATTTTATTACAATATTATATTGTTTCTTATGTTGTTGGCTGCAAGGCCAGAATACACTAATTTCTTTAGTTTCCATGCTAAATCTTCTTTCATGTGGCACTGACAAATTTCAAATGGAGAATAAGGAAATTTGAGGTTTATGTAGAGGAAAATGGGCAGGCAACACGCTTTATATTTCATGGTAGATTGTGTGTTTGATTAATATCTGAAAGCATGAGATTGATTTAAAACAATCCTGATGTATCAGTAGATGAATTATCTCCACTGTGGCTGAAAATATATTTTCAGTGCACATGCATTGGATTTATGCAATGAAACACCTATTTATATGTTAATGGACTTCTTGAAGACTAATGGAATTCTTGAAATCCTGTTGGTAAAGATAAGAGCGGAATTATTGCTCAAGAATATCTTCAATTAAACAATTATTTATAGGAGGGAGAGGTTTAGTAATATTCATTAAAGTTTATTTGGTAATTATGAATCTTTATTTTTTGTGTTCGGGGTTCTAACATCTTGTTCTCTTTAAGGGTAAATAAGAATCAAGATGGGCTTTTCTGGCAAAGGCTTTCCTATGGATGCAAATGGAGACTGGTAATATTTTCTGTGCTGTTAATATGAAACAGTAATGCAAATATTTAAAAATAATGTTTATGTTGGGATACATTCCGTATATGGTTATAGAAGCCTTTAGTATGGCAAGAACAAACAAAGAACATTTATAGCTAACATCACAGTTGAGGATACTTGTAATGTAAATGTATCAAATCTTATCACTTGCTCTGTTAACAGGCCCTCAAAAAAAATCAGGAAACACAGAAGTCAATCCCCTTTTCGTGATGTTTCACCTGTACCATCGCATTTCTCAGAACCAGCCTCATTCCTGCAACACAGGGTAAAACTGCAGAATCAATAAGACTACTGACCATTAAACTGTATATAAGTAGTTATATAATAGGTGGGATACTGTCGCAAAATTACCGCCTTGGTACATAATGAACCTATTCACCCTGTCATGATATATTTTGCAGTAATGACTGGCTGACTGTACATTATCACACATTATATGGCAGCTAGATCATCCCATTGATGTATGCACCAACTGTATTGTTTTGCATAGGATGTAATTGCCAGCCTTCCGTATCTCCCTGGTGTAAAGGGGCCACTCAGGGATGAAGATGACGATGATGATGTACGGAGTCATAAGAGCTTGCCAGCGGTAATGACTGCACAAACCCTCCAACCCAGAGACAAGAGGTCATACAGACATTCTGAGAATCACAACATATCTGGTTTACCCCCTCTCTTAAGCGCCAGGTACTAAATACAATTTTCATAACTTGTTCCCTTCATAAGCAATGTTTTAACACCCAATATATTGTCATTTAATCACCCTCAAGTTCTAAATCAGAACTATTCCTATAATGCAAACACCACTAATTGTCAGTATTCAATGATATAATATTCTCAGTGCTGGTGTAAACCTATGATTACCAGGTGCAGTTTGATTGTGAAAGGCACTGGATGCAAAACTGTCCCCAAACTCCCACCAATCACCAAATCCTGGAATACTTGGAAGGAAACAGACCCCCCAAGACCACCTTGTAGGTCTGGATGCAGGTAATGCCACATTTGTTCCTTAAAAAGCTAGCCTATGCAAGTACATTTCAAGTACATTTTATAAAAATGAAAGTCACGCCACTGTGGACTTAAAGCCGTGAGCTCATAGATCAAATCAACCATCTACTGACTGGCCATCTAAACCCTGACGATAAGACTTTGCAGCAGAATTCAGTGCCCTTAGCTTTTTTCATACTTGAGTATGAAAGGAGTAGGCAGGAGGCTCTTTTTTTTGTGCATGGTTTGACTTCGTTCTGCATTTAGGGTGCTGTTAAATTCACAGAACAAAAATGAAAAGGCACAGTCGGTATCTTGCCCGGCAGATATATGCGGAGTCATTTTCTGCTTATTAATGATTTAAAGCCTGGTTAGTCTCGGCGTCACATGGGCAAGTATTTTTCTGCTTTCCTCATTTATTTGAGGCTGTGAGGTGTGAGGGAGAGAGAACAGAGTTCAGAACTGAGAGGGAGAGAGAGGGCATGTAGATTTCTATTCACTTACTATCAGCCCCCACAGCTGGGCTAATAAACTGAAATTAAAGTGTCCCAATAAAGTGGAATTACGCAGTGCAACCAACAGCAGTTGAGGTCTGCTTGTAAAGTGCAGAGAGTATGTGTAAATGCCTCACTTTGGTAGATACAGAACTTATGTGATTTAAGAGCAATGAAGCCCAGATATATCTGCACTTGCAATGAGTTTCAGATGTCTCCGCTTGCCAGGATCAACGCT